TTTTTACCTTTTTTGGCGGTCGGAAATGGTTCTAGTGTGGTGGTGGGTGGCAACGGTCTGCTCCCCGGCGGTTGGGTCATCTTCTCCGGCGAGGGGGTCTAGTGGATAGGGTTAGGGTTTGGTGCAGATGGGGGTTATTTATATCCGTCCACTTTTGATCTGGACCGTCCATCGCGTTTGATCTTGACCGTCCGATCGCAATTAAATAGGTAATGAATCTAACCATTCATCGCGATCAAATCTGGACCGTCCATCGCAATCCACTCTGGGCCGTTCGATCACATTTGAATCTGACCATCCGATCACATTTGGGAGGGAGCGCATCCAAGCCGTCCGTGCGCGCGAGAACTAACCTGGACCGTTCAATCGCAGGCACGTGGATCACCCGCGTGGCTTTCCGTGTGGCACTGCGTCAGCGTCCGTTGCCACGTGGCGCATCCAGGTTCATTGGGACAGCTGACCGGACGTCCCACGTGGTAGAACTTTTTCAAATTACACTTTGACCCTTAGTTTCTGATTTTTCTTTCAAAAATATCTTCAGAACCCAAATATTTACCTCTTTTCCCCAAAATTATTTCTAATTTCATCCTCATTCAATTTTTACCCCAAATAAAATAAAATAAAATACAACAAAATAAAATAAATTAATAAAAAATTAATTTATTAATTATGTAATCACACACAAAATTTTATTTATTTTATTTTATTATTTTTTTTGTGGGTGTTACAATTCTCTCATTCTTAAAAGAAATTTAGTTTTTCAAATTTGTCTCTCACTCTCAATCAAACAGCTGGGGATATTGGACTCTGAAGTCTGATTCTAACTCCCATGTAGCCTCCCTCGATGTGTGGTTCTGCCATATGACTTTTACAAAGGAAATTTTTTGGTTGCGGAGTAATCTGCTCTTTCGATCCACAATGCCGACCTGTACTTCCTCGTATGACAGATCCTCCTAGAGTGGAAGAGGCTCGTGGGCCAAAATATGAGAGCGGTCCGGGTTGTACTTGCGTAGCATGAACACATGAAACACATTATGAACCTTGTAAAGTTCTGGAGGTAGTGTTAGTCTATAGGCGGCGGTACCAATTCTATCTAAGATTTCAAATGGTCCAATAAATCGGGGATTCAGTTTTTTCCTCTTACCGAACCTACTAATTCCCTTAAAGGGAGTGACCTTAAGGAACACTCGATTACCTTTCTCAAATTTCAAATCCCTCATCCGGGTGTCCGCATAGCTCTTCTGCCTGCTCTGAGCCATCTGAATGTTCTTCCTGATCTTAACTATTTTGGATGTAGTCTCCTCTACCAGATTTGGGCCGAATAGTTTCTATCGCCCACTTCTTCCCAACAAATCGGCGATCTACATGGGCGCCCATATAATGCCTCATACGGAGCTGTGCCAATACTCGCTTAGTAGCTGTTGTTGTAGGTGAACTCTATCAGGGGTAAATGGTTATCCCAATGGCCCTCGGAGTCAAAGACACAAGCTCAGAGCATATACTCAAGTGTACATATTGTCCTTTCTGACTGTCTATCGGTCTGATGGTGGAATGCAGTACTAAGGGATAGTTTCGTTCCCATGGCTTGCTGAAACCTATACCAAAATCGAGAAGTGAACCTGGGGTTCATGTCGGACACTACAACCACTGACACTCTATGTAATCTGATTATTTTTCGGATATACATTCTTACTAACTTGTCCAAGGGATCGGTCATCTTGATGACCAAAAAGTGGGAAGACTTGGTAAGCCGATCAACAATTACTCAGATGACATCATGTTCTGAGCGTGCCTAAGGTAATCTTGTCATAAAGTCCATGGTGATATGTTCCCACTTCTATTTCGGGATCGGTAATGGCTAAAGTAGCTCGCCTGGGTGTTGATGCTCTGCCTTAATATGCTGACATACCAAACACTTAGAAACAATGTCAGCTATATCTCTTTTCATCCCGTTCCATCAAAATCGGGGTCGCATATTTTGGTATATTTTAGTGCTTCTAGGATGCATGACAAACTTTAAGTTATGAGTCTCTGTCATAATGTTCATCTTTAACTCACTGTCACCTGGAACACACACCTTGTCCTGGAATCTGAGTAACCCATTGGTGGAGACTCGAAATTCTGATCTAACTTCCTGTTCTGCATCTTTCTTGAGGGCTACTAGGGTGGAATCGACGGACTGAACTTCTTTTATTCTTTAAATTAACTCAGGCTGAATGGTCAAGTGACCCAAACATGTGACTCTCCTCAGGTCCTGAAACTGTAGCTGTTGTGTGGCCCCAATCTGCTTACATTATGAAACCATCAAATGGGCTAATGTACCTATACTTTTTCTGCTGAGTGCATTGGCTACCACATTGCCTTTATTCGGGTGATACAAGATGTCACAATTGTCTTTAAGAAGTTCTATCCACTTTCTCTGACAGGTGTTGAGATCCTTTTGAGTGAATATGTGTTTCAAACTTTTGTGATCGGTATAGATCTGAAAGGTCTCCCCATACAAATAATGGCGCAAAGTCTTCAAGACATGTATGATTGCGACAAGCTCTAAGTCATGGGTGGGATAGTTTCTCTCATGACTCTTCAACTTTCTAGACCCATAGGCTATGACATTCTTATGCTGCATCAAAACACAACTCAGGCCTAGGCAGGAGACATCACTGTAAACTATATACCCCCCCGATCCACTCGGCAATGCCAATATAGGTGCAGTAGTCAGCTGCTTCTTTAGCTCTAAAAAACTTCTTTCACAGTCCTCGTTCCACTCAAACTTGACATTATTCTTTGTGAGTCGAGTCAAGGGAGCAGCTAGACTAGAAAACCCTTCCACAAACTGCGATAATAACCCACCATCCCTAAAAAGTTACAGATCTCCTTAACTGATGTCAATTTTTCCCAACCGAACACTACTTCAACATTTTCAGGGTTCACTGACACTCCATCCTTTAATATGATGTGTCTAAGGAAGGTGGTCTACTCAAGCCAGAATCCACACTTACTCAGCTTTGCATACAGCTTATTCTATCT